CTGCGGGGGCTCCCCCTGCCCAGCCCCGCCCCCACTGACTTGCTCCCTCCATCCTCGCTGACCTGTGCACCCCCCCACCCCGCTGATCTGCTCCCCCCCAGTCCCTACTGACCTACTCCCCCCCATCCTCGCTGACCTGCTCCTCCCACCCCATCCTCGCTGACTACCCCCACTTCCCCCACTGACCTCCTGCCCCACGCTGACCTGCTCCCCTTACATTCTTCTCTGAATTACTTCTGAGGCTTCACCTTCTTCAGGATCCCTTCATTTTAACAACTGGCGTGTTGCCTGCATGTGTGTCTGTGTGAGGGTGGCGGATCCCCTGAAACTGGAGTTACCGTGCTGAGCTGCTGTGTAGTTGCTGGGAGTTGAGCCTAAGGTCCTCTGGAGAAGCAGCTACTGACTCATCTCTCCAGCCCCAGGGAGCCCTTTCCCATTCACCCTTTAAAACTCATCCCTCGTCCCCATTCCTCCTCCCCACACGATTTTCCTTGGTTGCCCTTCTTGCCGGCTACAACCCTGCCTGCTTCCCTGGCTGTTTATCTCCTTCCCCATCAGAAGGCACAAGGCCAGGCTGGAGGGTGGCTCGGCCGGAGAGCGTTTGCCTGACTGTTGACTGAGGTGGAAAAGAACATTTGCAACTGCGGGCTCAGGGGGAGGACAGGACTGGGGAGAACCTCAGCTAGCAGAGAGGAGTGATGTGGTCACTGCCATGCACTTGGTTTGAGCAGGACAGTCCCTTCTTGCGGGCGTCTATGGTGCAGACTGAAGCTCTCCATAAGCACCTTCTCCTTCCTCGCTGGCTCCCTGCTGGCCTCGGAGTCTGGCCCCTAGCAAAGCCTCCCTTTCCTCCAGGTCTGGCTCCTCCTCCCTGTGACACCCTTGTCTCTGGCACCAACAGGAAGTGCCTAGGAGACCGAGGCTTACCTGGGCGGGAGGCGGGAGGCCAGCTGGCTAGGGTCTGCCTACCCAGCCCCCAGTCTCAGAGGGGCCTCTCCTGTGACGCCCCCCATGCCGCCCTGCCGGGTGACACCCCCTACACCACACTTCTCTTCCCCTGGCACCAGTTGCACGGGAGAGACCCAGATGGCTCTTTGGCCTGGGGACAAAGGCCACACTGTGCCTGGCCCTGGGCGGGCCTCTGACTGGGTCACACTGGGCCTTTCTGTCTCTGGTTGGGGACGAGAGGCAGACAGCACCAAGGTGACAGACCCTTTTCCTGTCTCCCTTCCCCCTCAGCCCCCAAATCTGTGGAGCTGATTCTCCCAAGGCAAGAGCGACAGAGCATCTTGTGTCTTAAGCCAGGGAACAACAAACCATTCAGTGCCCCGGGTGCCCTGTCACACCCAAGACCCTATTGAGTTCAATGCCCTAATTGTCCCTGCCAGAGAGAAGTAGCCACTCTTTGCTCTGGTCACCATTCCTGCTGCCTGTTCCCATGTCGCCATCAGGAAGTCCATCCTAACGTCTGACCTTCGTTCCTCATGCTGTAGTGACAGCCATTTCCTCTTGGCCACTTCTCCAGTACAGAGAACAGCTGGTTGCTATTGCTATGCGGTCATCCATCACACTGCTCAGGTCGAGCCTGGAGCCTGGAGCCTCGGTTCTGTTCCGCTTTTCCAGCTCTTCCTCCCTGTTCTGCCCTCCACTCCATCCTAGGCCAGCTATAGGCTCTTTACTCCCAAACTGAACCCTAGAAAGAGCAGATGCGATTTTGGCTTGATCTTTGTCTGATAGAAATTATCTGCCCTGAACAAAAGCCAGCGTGTAAATCATGGCAACTACTGGGAGTTACCGAGCCAGCAACCCATCCCACCATCCCATAAGCCCACGCTGTAGGATGGACTTATGGGAGAACTGCTTTCAGACACGGCTGGTTCCTCTCGATAGAGCTGACACCACGAACAGCTAAGTGCATGTGTACCCTGCATCCCTTGAACAGCCTTGGTCTCGTGCCCCATGTCCCCTCAGATAGCTCTTGTAGTAGGCACGCACGCACACGCACACGCGCGCGCGCACACACACACACACACACACACACACACACACACACACACACGCCGTTCCACTTGGCTCACTCCTAGAGTTTAGGAAACGTATATGTGTGTTCCCCAGTCCTAGCAGCGCCCTTGTGGGGCTCCTGCAGCTGTCTGTCTCCTTCCTGTACCCTCTGCAGCTCTGAGGGCTCCCTTCCTAGCCCAGATGGTAAATTGGAACCCCACCTCACCTGAACCCCAGATGCCGCCAGCCATGTCTACACGTGCTGATTATCAGATACCCTATTTTTTTGTTGTTTTGTTTTGTTTTTTTGTTTTCTTGAGACAGGGTTTCTCTCTGTAACAGCCCTACCTGTCCTGGAACTAACTCTAGACCAGGCTGGCCTTGAACTCACAGAGATCCACCTGCCTCTGCCTCCCAAGTACTGGGATTAAAAGTGTGTGCCACCCCTGCCTGGCTACCCTGTTTTAAATACACATCTTCTCTGCCTGTTTTGGAGAGACAGGGCTGTAATCTTAGCCTTGAGAGATTGAGGCAGGGAGATTGGAAATGTCAAACTTGCCAAGACTGCATTGAAATACTCATTGCGACAGTAGAGTGGGTGGGAACCATGGCTCAGTGGTTAGGAGCGCTTGCTGCTCTTTCAGAGGACCTGGGTTCAGTTCCCAGAATCCATTTCAGTCAGCTCTCAGATGCCCGAAATTCCAACTCCAGAAGATCCAACTTCCTCTTCTGCCCCCACAGGGGTACCTGTACACATATGATACACACACACACAGACACACACACACACACAGACACACACACATACACACAGACACACACACACACACACACAGACACACAGACACACACACACAGACACACACACAGACACACAGACACACACACACAGACACACACACATACAGACACACAGACACACACACAGACACACACACACAGACACACAGACACACACACACA